CTGAACGCTCGAGGGATCGTTCGGTTATCGCGCGGCGTCGTAGCGACAGATTTCATTCTAGAAATTGGCACTAAGAATTCAAAGATAGACGAAAGAATACTGTTGGTAAATATCGTTTAACCCTTCCGAGCCGGTCTCCTCGTCCAGGACGATCTTCGGGACGCTTGCCGAGGGGCACCCGAGCCCATCTCTCAATCTCATTCCCGACAAGTTTCTTCTTAGACGCAATAAAGTTACCTCTAAAGTCTCCTCCGAGGATCTCGGGGAATATTGCGTTTATACACTGCGAGGCTCGGGAAGGATGCAGGGAGGAACAATCCCTGCCTGGATCTTTAGGGTTAAGAGCCGCGTCCAGGACCACGGGTCGCGAATGAGTTGCACTCTACTCGTTAACTCGATGTCTGCGGCGATGAAGACGCTCGAGGATCTTGTGGCCTTGGTTCTTAGCGTTCGAGACTTTTTACTTTCATCGTTTACTTACAGAAAAGTTTACTGTTTCTGTGGAAACGTTTGTGGACTACTATTAATCGGTAATTCATTCAATTAGCCAGTCGAATTTACAAAGAAATATTATAACATTTCTTCGATCCTTTATTTTCCTTCTCAGTGCAAAATTTGGATGTATGGAAAATCTAATAATTTTAGGGTAGTTTCTTTAAGATTTATTAAAATATTTAATACCATAACTGGTGCAATATTGGTGCCTACAGAGTTCAAAGGGTTAAAATGTTTCTTGAAATTAGAGAAACGTTCAAAATGTTTCTTGAAATTAAAGAAACGTTTTAAATACTTCTTGAAATTAAAAAAACGTTTGAAATGTTTCTTGAAATTAAAGAAACGTTTAAAATGTTCCTTAAAATTAAACAAACTCAGTCCACAGCGAAACAGTTGATTTATTCTTTGAACCCACAGGAGGGTAGATCCCAGCGACCGGAAGTCCCGAACGCTATCAACATCGTATAGGGTTGTAGTCTCCTGTTCGCGACGCGAGCAACGCCTCGCTGTCTGGTGTTTAACGGCTAACATGCTTACTAATTCGAAAATGCACGTGGTGCGTGTACTTATCTACATGGAAGACGAACGTGACTCGCAGAGGGTGGCGCTGCCGCGGCGGGGGTAGGAGTGCCGGTTCAACCAGTGCGCGAGCGTCTCAAACGAGCGATAAGCACCGGCGGCGTAGTGACTTCCGCGTTAAACTCGCTTAACGGCCGGTGTAATTAATTAAAGGACCAGGTTCACTGTCCTGTGGAGCACCGGCGCGCCACCCTTAATCCTAGCCTAGCATTTTTTTTCTCGCCCTCTTTCTACAGTTTATCGCTCGTCCATTAATCCCTCTGAATTGTCATTCGAATTTCATTCCGGATTTCCGCTGATTCGCGCTGTCTCGGACTCGAATCGTCGAACGAATCGGGGGATGATCGGGCGCATCGGGGGGAGAATCTTCGTACGCCATCCTCGTTGAGTAATGGGAAATGCAAAAGGCGAGCCAACACGGAATAAATAACGCGTTCAGACGTTAATATTACAGGGCTTCAGCTCCATAAACTGATAGGGTACGTGCAGCGTGGTGTTGTTGTGCTCCACCAGCAGGTGACCTCGCCTGGGAGACGCCCCCACGACCAGCACCGTTTCACCCTTCAATAGGACCACCTCACCCTCGCCCTCTTCTGAAAGAAGAACAATTTCGTGCCTAATGGGAATGCGGGAGCCTGGAACCACCTGTACAAAGTCTGCCTATGAAGAGTATACTAAACTGCCCCTTTGTCAACCCTTAAGAATGAAGGTTTAACGAGGAGAACTTAGGGAAGCTGCTGTAATAAATAAAGATAATGTTTCTATTTTGAGTAGGTAAGAATTAAAATAAAGATTGGAAATTGTTTTGAGTAGTCGAAAGACAACCCTTAAGAATGAAGCTTCAATGAGAACTTAATGAAGCTAAATAATTAAAGATAATATTTCTACTTTGAATAGATAGGAATTGGTGAAAATAAAGAAGATTGGAAACAGTTTTAAGTCGTCGATAGACAACCCTTAAGAATGAAGCATCAATGAGAACTTATAGAAGCTAAAATAATAAATAGAGATAACATTCTTCGACTAGATATAAATTAGCAAAAACAAAGAAGCTTGACAGTTCTAAGTCACGAAAAGAGAAATCTTAGTTTCAACAGGAACCTAAAATCGAACTCGGGAAAATGATATTCTGCAAGGCATCCGGCAAGATCCGCGATAGCCGAAGCTCGACGATGCATCGTCTTTCAAACGAACAAGTTTAGAAAACTTCGCAGTTTTATCACAATCCCGACAGCAGCGAATTGCGGAGGATACGTTCCTTCCAAAGACAGCGTTCGCAAACTTCAACGGAAGATGCGCACCGCGTAGGTCGCGGCAGAGAGGCAGGAACAAAAGAAGATCCCTCAGACTTTCAGAAAGAACGGACACCGGTTTCACGCGGGAACATCCGATGGCTCTTACCTGGGAACGGCATCTTCATGATCCTCGTCTGCGGGTAGCCCAATTTCGTGTTGCCTGTCACGGTGTAGCTCCTGCTAGGCGGCACCGGCGGCGGTCGCTCCTGGAACAAAGTTTCGAAGACATGCTCGACGATGAACGTAAGTAAATAGGTACTGCAAGATCACTCGACGGTTAAGTTGAAGAATGCAGGTCTGATTGGTCAGTCATCTTATTTACTATACCAACTTGCTACTCATCGATAGGGTTAGACGTAACCAATTAAAATCACAAAGAAAACAGGGAAATAACCTTTCTTCCTGATCATCTTAAACATCGAGTCACCTTTTAACAGTTCGTCACTCAAATTCGACACTATTTCTCACATACATTTAAATATTCATTTTCTCAAGTCGAATTTTGTTGGATATTATTACGAAGATTCTTCAGTTCCTGCTCAATGCAGAAAACTGTTTCGACTGTATAGTTTCAAGTATTTATTTGCCAAAGTGTTAGCATATTGAGTCGATGAGAGTTCTCAACGAAAACTAAGTAAAAACGAAGAGAGAAGTGTCCTTTACACGCGTTGTAATAATTTTAAAACAGATGTTACTTGTCTCGAGGAAACAATCATATTTCTTAATACTTTAAGCGCCACGAGAATCTTAAGCTTCCCGTAGAGTTATTCTTGTAGCAAACAATAGGAGAAACAATAATTAATTATCTGTTACAATCCTGGTATTACACCATTGTCAGCTTAGTAACGTTATTAAACGTTTTCATTTTACATCGGTTATCTCGCATGTTACCAAGTAATTCAAAAATCATCGGTGACTGACATGGTAACCCGTTAACCACGCAGAAAAAACGTCGAAATTTCTGTATCGAGCGAACACTTAGCGGAGATGTAATTTTCTGTACGAGATAGGTGATCCTTACCAGATCCAGGCCGAACAAGGTGCACGTTTGCTGGATCATCTTCTGATCCGCGCACTTCTCCGAGGGATCCGGGGGTGGTGTGCCAGCGATTGGCTGCGGCCTCGGTCTGGTTCCGGTGCCTGTACCAGCGGCGGTCGTCACGTTCCTCTGAACGGTTCCGGTGTTGGCCGACGTCGGCTGCTGCGGCTTCTTCTGACCCAAACCGGCAGTCACGCCTATCGTGGTCTTCCTCAGCGGCCATCTTCTCCGCACCCTCCAACCGCGCCAGGTTGCCTAATCATCGATCGGGGAATAAATAAGGACTTGCAGTGGATTACAAGGGTTTCGTTCGAATCTCGCTTTGGGAAAGCTTAGGGAATCTAGATCTGTCTAATGGTTACTAATAAATTAATCGCACTCCATTGTCGCTGATGACGTTGCAAGATAAGTTGATAACTCCGTTTCTAATCAAGCGTAACTTTGATCTGAAAGATCTTCGAATCTCGAATTGTTTACAGGTAAACCAGGAAATAGAAAGATTCGGGAGAATTGTAGAAACGATTGTAACCGAGAACGATGAGCTGATCCTTCGGGAATCGAGTTACCTGTATCGCAGTGGCTGCCTTCCTCCTCGTCTCCGACCTTAAATTCTCTAGCTGCTGCCTAATGCCCTCGCTGAGGAAAATGTGCCTCTTGCCGAGCGCCCAGCTGGTACTCGCGCCGAATTTGCTCTTCAACTGTTGAGCATTCTGCAGGATGAGCTTCGTGTCCTCGACGGCCTGCTCCTCCGCCCGACGCAGCTGCTTGAAAGGCGCAATCAGTCTGTACCTCGCGTTGAACGCCTTGAAACGCATTCGATGCGGGTATCCTGTGATTATAAAATCATTCGAATGACGGGACCGTCCCGGATTAGTAATCTCGGCTCTCCGTTGAAGCTTAATCTAGACTGATTCGCGTGACGTTCTACCGAAACACCTTTGACCCGTTCGCAACAGCTGAGACTAGGGATTGTCATGCAGATAATCTTTCTATTGTTACATTCCACTATCACGATAATACTGTGATCTAAATTCAACTAAAAAAACTCGCGTTAAACGTGTTAGATTGTTTCCAAATGCGTCATTCTATAAAAAATTAGTATAAATTCTGAAATAGAAGCAAAATCCTTCACACAATACTACAAACTTCTGAATTTAAACCCTCAAATTCGACTATTCCCACAACGAAAATAAAACGTTACCTGCTAAGCAGTCTGCTCTACAAAACGATGTTCACTTAAATCAAAATACTTAATTCCATTTCTCCATTCGTATAACGTTCGATCCGAACCGAGAAATATCCGTTGTCACTGAAAAAACTTCGCAACATCCCCATAAAGTAAACAGAACCTCGTGTTCAGCTGTGTACCTCGCGACTGTCTGAAGCATTTGTTTCTATCGCTCACGCTTTTCAAGTTATCGAGTTTCGTCCGGCGAGCAGCCATCGAGCCGCGCCGCGCCCGTCGAAACGCCGGAGCAGACCGTTTCCATTTTTAATCGGAGCCAGTCCGACGAGGATCGAACCTGTTCAGCGACACGTCGGTACAACGCGCGCGGCGTGCAAGGGGGGCGGGGGAACGTCAGACGGTCGGTCGACGAGCATGCAAATTGAACGTCGGGAGTAGTTTCAAGACGTACCGCCGGCCATTAGATTTACTGTCTCGAGAACTTGAAGGGATCGTATCTGACGCATAGTCACGCCTCTGTCTAGGTGCAGCGGGGTTTCTGTGCCGTTGCTTCTAATGCACCTGACAAAGTGGGGCCTGGCGTGGACGAGAGTTCTCAGGAGATTATCCAGCCTCGTGTGGAAGTCCTGAGTCAACGTGGAGATTGGCTCGTCCCCGTTCAAACTGAAACCAGAGGACAGTCACCCGCGATTTCGTGATTTTCAGTTCGGTAACAGAGAGAGAGAAATAGAGAGAGAGTAAGAGAGAGAGAGAGAAGGAGAGATAGTTTCGCCGTGTGGCCGGATGTGTGTCTTACAGGTCGGTGTGGGAGGTCGGCGATATCCGGAAGCTGACGCCCCGGGGCACCGTGTCACTCGCGTACAACGCTTTCAGCTCGCTGCCGAACAAGTGGGTCGCGAAACCGAAGCTGCACGTGTGCTTGTAGAACACCGCCACCAGGTCGTCCGGCACTACGTCCTTGTTCGTGTCTTTTGGGAAAGAAAAGGAGAAATACCTTCTAATCGAACGTTGGAATGATACTTTTAACCCTTTGAGAACGAGGATTATTTGGAATACGAAACCTTCGGCGGATGAAATTATATATCGATCGTTTAATTAACACTGGAACTACCGAGCATTTAACACGATTGACGCTAGGTTTACGCGTCAATTCGACGCACATTGAATTTTACAATTATTTAGTAAATGTTTCTGTCGATTTTAATCTTTAATCATCTAATCTTTAAACGTACAGAATCTAAATGAACGAACATAAAATTTGTTAATAGAATAAACTGAATAATAAATGTCCGTAAACCTAGAGTTAATATGCAGTTCCTATAAAAACTGTAACAATAGATTATTCTCAGTTTCTTCAGTATCCTATTTATTTTCAAAATAATTTCGAATATTCAACGCTTCGAAGATATCGATAATTGCTAAACAAAAACCAGTCAATTTGACTGGTATGGTAGTTCTAGTATTAACAGGGAAACGAAACTATGATCTCTTGCTCTTGCTGAAAATCTAATCTCGCCGGAGTGTCGTTCGCAAAGGGTTAAATTAATTTGGTTGAAGGATTTTCCTGGATTTTCTCGAGGATTATGAAGTATAGAGATACTTTCGTTGGTTACGTTCACGAGAATTCTAGGCACTCTATATAATATTCCTTATTATAAAGACAAATCTGTAACTCATTCACTGCATACAATATACGATTTCATTACTTTCAATTTATTTTATATCAACATACATTTCAAATGTAACCAAGATTGTACCAAGTTGACAATCCTGGACACTTGCTACGAATATACTCGCGACGCAGCGAATGGTAATAATATAGAAACGTAACTAAGATTTTAACACTAGATCTACAGACGCGTGTCCTACACTTCATTCCATTGTTCCCAGAAAAGTCTCTATACAGATCGCGAAAGTATCTTGAAACTCATCGTCTACAATTCGACGAATCGAGATCAGCTACTAAACGACTCCCAAAAGCTGCTACTAAACGACTCCCAGATCAGACCGACGGGTCCCATAAATCTAGTGTTAATGGGCACGTCTCGAAGTGCCCTAAGAAACAGAATGTCACAAGGTGAGCTGCGTCCGGCTGAAAGGGGGACGGTGAGCCCCAAAAAATTTATAGCAGTCGCATCGAGGGAATCGATAACCGACGAAGGAGGCATACGCACCCAGGAAATCGGACGCGTCGTAAGTCACTCTACCCGCAAAGTGCTGGATCCCGAAGGATCTACAGTCGACGGTCCTGGGCTCGAAGAGCCGGGGATTCTGTTTGTGCTGAACCTTCACTTTGGCCACGTAGCTCTCGGCGGTGCCGCGTATGGAGCACTCGACGTCCAGCATGCTCAACAGCCCGGTGCGCTGCGCAACGAAACAACAACGCGAGCATTTCACGCAAGGATATCCCGCGCCGCCGGTTTTAAACGGGCCGGTTGCGGCGCGCTCCCTCGGGCTACTCACCAGCGAGGAAATTAGATCGATGCAGGGCACGTTGTCGACGTAGTCGACCTCCACGTCGCAACGGATACCCTCGTCGCGGCAGCTCTCGATCGAGCTCTTGAAGATGTGCGTGTTGTAAAAGTGCTGCATCGTCTCCGCGCAGAGATTGATGCACAGGTGCTCCAATTGGCTGGGCTTCGGGTCCTCGAAGCCGAACATGTCTAGGATACCGATGAACCCGTCCGTCGCGTGTCGCACGGCGTTGTTTAAGGCTGTCATGCTTCTGGAGCCCGTGCCACCTGGACGTCAATGAGAAAAGTACAGTTTTTCATTAGAAATATTTTAACTCTTCCGATGAGATAGAGAGGATATTTTGTAAAACTAACTCGACGAGAAATCACACTTAAATTGAGGGACAAAGCTATTTCGTTTGAATATTTCTCAAATTAATGCATTATACGAAGTTTAATGTTAAGTATCAAAATTTATAGTTTTACTGTATGAAATCGATTGGCGAGTGAGAGGCACCTCTCGAGTGCTTAGGGTTAATAAGGTGATTAGAATATCTTCGTGCTTGGAATTCTTATGTTCTTCTTTGCTTTCTTTATTATTCATCATGTTACACGTATAGATTTAAAACTCATTTTTCTCGAGAACGAAGGACCATCGTGACGAAAATGATCGACGTTGATATAATTATCATTGTAGAATTATTTACAAAGGAATTTCAGATCCTAGAGACACACTATCGTGTGGAATTGATTTCTAATTAATAAACTGCTCTTCGATTCAACTTTGAGTCCCAGTCAATCGATAACAACTAGATCAATCCTTGCAATAATAAAAATAATCACTACTCTCGCTTAAAATTACCATAAAGAATCTTAACACGTTGAATGCCGTAGGGTCATCAGTGATACATTCTCTCACTTTGACATGCCTATGAAAATCGAAATTTACATTGACAACTAACCTGCCGAGCTGCCAATGGTAGAAGCGTGCTGACTGGTGACCTCCGCTTGATTATGAACCGACTCGTTCGAGTCCGAGGACAACGTGCCCAAAGTGGAGCCCAGTCTCTTCAAGCTGTTGGCTCTCCTGACGATGGTAGCCACCGTGCGACAGTACAGCGCTTTCGCCAGCGAGTCCCTGGTCATGTTAGACTGCGTAAACAAATACCCTTCAACATGTCTCTTCACCGACGAGGCAGGCGTTAGGCGAGATCGCTGGTAATTAATTACACAGTACCATATTAGCGTCGCAGACCGATTTCACCAGTTGCCCCCTGGCATTGTGGGTCCTGGAGGTTAGACCTCTGAGCAGAGCGGGCGGGGGGACTCCTAGAAGAGCTGCCACCGAGGCTAGCTCGTTCTCGCCGATCACGCCGACCTCCACACCCGGACGATCCGTGAAACCTACGTTGCCGAGGATCAACACTGCTGCCAGCACCCTCACCACGTCTAGAAATGGTATACCTAACACGCCTGGAAAGATTCTGGGGTTCAGAAGGTTGTACGATGAAGTTGGAATTGTTTTATGCTTTTGCACTCGGAAGTTTATTAATAGAGATATTTAGATACATTTAGAGATATTTAGAAATATTTAGAGATATTTGATAGAGACGTTTAGAGATATTTAAGATATTTAATAGAGATATTTAAAGATATTTAGAGATATTTAAGATATTTAATACAGATGTTTAGAGATATTTAAGATATTTAATAGAGATATTTAAAGATATTTAGAGATATTTAAGATATTTAATAGAGATATTTATAATTTGAGGCGACGTTCTTTGAAACTCGAAAGGAAATTACAAGTAGTAGCAAATTTATTCCAATATTTCACGTAGCATTATACAAGATTTAACCTTAAATATTAGATCGTATAGTTTTGCTTCAAATCAAGTGCCAGTCGCCTCCGAATGCAAAGTGTTGATTTTCCCAGTCTCCGGTTAAAAGTTTTGTTTGGTATTTTTCATAACTGTTATTTAAAAGAAGTACTAACTAATGTATAAGGTAAATTAAGAATGTAAATAAAGTTATAAGACATACCCAAACACGCCTTCCAAGCTTGAAACCTAATGGCGTCCTCCGCCTCGTCCTGCCTGGTGTCGCCATGTTGCAGGTACCTCAGATTCTTCAAGTTGTACCCCTCCAAATTGAGCTTCACTGTTGAGCGAACGCCGATATTAAGTATCACATCGAGAATGGTACGTTACTAAGCTAAAAGAACCGATCCTCTACCTCGTTCCTCGTGCGACAAGCCAGCCAACATTTGGTAGAATATATGGTAATTCTTTTCGTCAGGCAATGGCCTGATTACTCGCGTCTGGTCCAAGAAATAACAATGTATCTTCGTCCTGTACAAAGCTCCGTCCGTCACCTGGACCTCGATGAAGTGACCCTGAAGAAACGAGCCGAAATCAGACACCTCTATCTCGAACAAAGGTTAATCCTCTATTGACCCCAGTACTACCAGTCAAACTGACTTCTTCAAATCCCATAGAAACTAAAAATATTCAGACTTCCATTGCCTTATAATTCAGTTTACACATCAATGTCTTCGTTAACCTCTCCAAAGAGTTGACCCTTTGCACTCGAACATTGTTTCGCTGGATATATTCATTTCCTAATGAAATATCAGTGGTAGATTTTATAACTAACACTAATATAAATAATATAGGAATCAATCGTTTCATGGATAATCGTTAAATGAACTTCAACACTAAAACTACCAGACGGGTCAAATGACTCATGCCTGATGTCTTCTTCCAATTATTCTAAAGGTAACAAATGTTTCTCTGAGAAATTATTAAAGAGATTCATTTAGCACTACGCAAATTGAATTGTAAATCAATTAAACTCTGAACAGATGCACTCTTCGAGTTTCTATAGTGAAATTTTAAAAAGTGAAGTGCTCGATAGTTTTAGTGTTAACATTATACAATACATCAAACTTAACTTTGCTGTATCAAACAAAATGACTATTGAGTCGCCTCTCGAGTGCAAAGGGTTAATCATCAAACAACGAAAGAAGTCAATTTTCATCGAATCGATAGCTCCAGCGTCGAAATCCTTAAAACTCAAAGCATCCACGTACTATCCTAGAGCTCTCCGAATTGGTGGCAGTCTTCGCCGATCCCAGGGACCTGAGTACAGTGAACGCCGCAGCCAGGTGTTTGAACGCGTCGGTCTCGGGCCCACCGCCGGCGACGTCGAACAATTGCCTAAGTAACAACATGGATGCGTACGTTTTCCCCGAACCGCTGGTGCCTGGGGAACACGCGGAAAGCGTTGGTTCGTGTGACGTTTTCATGGGAGCGAGGATTTTCGTCGTTGAAAGGTGTCGATCGTTTACCAGAAAGGATGATAGCCTGCGGGTAGCCGGTCTCCGACTGCTGCCGCACCGCTTCCTGGACCACTTTGTTCAGCTGGGGCGCCAATGGTACGGCCCTGGTGCTCGTTAAGGTCAATGGATTCCCGACGTCCGTATAAGGATTGATACAGACCAGAATGGGGCCCACGTTCGTCTGAAAACGCGTCCCCATTATCCCACTCTGACGATTATCAATTTCGCGTCGCGCGCTCGCACGCACGCACGTCGATGCAAATGTAATTGCCTGATGTGTGTGACGCGTAATTGTCCTTTTTACGGCCGCGGTCGCGCGATTTTCTGCGGTCGTAACATAACTCGGGAATTACGATCGCTCGGATGGCACCGAATCGTTCTAGTTTCGTCGCGACATCGTATTCGAGTTGCAAATTGGCATAACGAGACACTGAAACGTGCGGACGCGTTATAATCGGGCGAGACACTGTGGGAAATGATTTCTTCGTTCCGCTCCTCCGCGCTGTGGAAGATGATCGGCCGCGAGACACAGATGTATTAATTTTATCGGTTTCCGGGCGACAGCGGTAGTAGCTGGAGGAAGGTTTCGCTCCATTAAGGGAGGCTGCCCGTAAAAGGTGTCTATTATCTGGCAGAAGTGATTTAATTTCGAGACCACTACAGACGGCGGAAAGTGTTTGAGAACATTAGTCATGAGCGTTATCTGGTTAATGGTACCGAGCCGATGGACGTTCCGGGAACCCGAAGACCGGCTGAGTAAATACCATTCTTCCGGCGAAAAGAGTCTGCGGGCGTGTTTCATTATTAAAACGCTAATCGATGGCATACTTCCCTGAAGGACGAGGGAGGAGGATTCCAATTAGCTCCCCTTATTTAGAATTCAAATTAGTTTGCTCCAGAAGTCAATCGCCCCGGCATTAGCGCCGCTTAAAAATTAATCGAACGGGAGCTTGCGTTAATCGTCGGGCCGACGGTCGCTGCGGAAATTCGCAGACTAGCGAGCTAACAGGAAGAAGAGCGGAATAACAGACTATCGTAAACTATACTTCAGCGTCATCGAAGTTCGCATTCCGCCCGACTCCGATCGATGACATCCGCAAACGTTGAAACATGAAATTCTACTTCGCCCCGGTTGCCCGATAATCCTCGATAAAAATGTAAATTCCCGTCGAGCATCCTCGCTCGAGAGATTAGGACCCGACGCATTCGCAGAGGAAACTTTCAAAGAATCAATAAAAACAAACAAACGCCCCGTGTACCATAATATTTAATACAATTCCGCTTCGCTTTCGGTCCGCCGGAATCGTTCGAGGAAATCGAGTTCGCTCGGCGTCGATTCCCGTGCGCAAATTCCCCTATAAAAATGTATATTCCCGTCGACGATCGGCCGTCGATTAACCATTAACTCCAAGAGCTAACGATCCATTAACGATCGGTGAACTCTGAGTACCGAATTCACGGGGAACGTAAACATTTATCGATCCCCGGGCGGACGGGCGAGGAAGAGAAACGCGTTCGCGGCTCGATGTTCCTGTCCGTGGATCTCCCTCGAATAATATCCCGAAGAGGTGGATAAAAGGAAGCCTCGGGACTTAGAAATCGGGACAGCTGGAGCGCGGAGGGGGCAGAGGGGGCGGCGAACCAGAGGACGAAGGAGACAAAGAGCGCAGGGTGGTGCAACAGGCTACGGAGCGGCGGGCTTTGGCGGGCCTTCGTACCTATTAGAAGCCCACCTAGAGAAAGCAACACACGCCGGAGGACGAACAAAAAGGTGAAAAA